CATCAACCCCTCCATCGTGTGAAACACCACCCACAAGCCCCCCGTCCGGCAGGTCACTCTGGGCCGTAAACGCCGTAGTGGCATGTGCCACAACGGTACCAGCTGGCACACACACGCTTTCAGCACTCGCATTTAACACCTGCAAAAACGGGCGCTGATCTGGACGGACAATAGTTTGCGCCCCTACCAGCGCTAAGCCGCCCGTAACCGCGGCGGACGGCGACAGCAAAATCCCAAAAGCACCCTGCCGACCCGGAACCGGCTTCCGGTATCGTAAGGGAATGAGCATCTGAGAGCCAGGTGGAATATCAACCGAAACTTCCGATAGCGCCTGCACCTGGGCGACAGGAGCCGGTCGCCCCCAGGCGGACTGTAAAAATTCCAATTTCCGGCCCCCCGGTAGTTCTATGCAATTTTCATTGATTCTAATTAGAATGGGCATCTTAGCCAAAAAATCCGTACCCAACAGGCAAGGAACCGCCAGGGACCTCGAAATCAACACAACGCCCGAGGCCGAGACACCCCCGATAGAAATGTTAGCGTCCACCTGTCCCATGATGCCCATACTACCCCCGTTCGCAGCGATGCAGGAAGCGTAAGCCGGCCTCACGGCCCCCGGTGGGATGTTCAAAAGATGGAATATCACATCCGAAATAATGGTCGCGGACGCACCGGAATCCACCAAAATACGTATGTCCACCCCTTGGATGGACCCAGGTACAGTGGACGAACCGGTAGCGGCCGCGACAACCCGCCGAGCCAGCTTACGCCACTGCGTTATCGAGCGACAAGGCTCAGATACTGGCCTCCCGTATTTTACAACATCCGCGTCGCATAACAACGGCGATGAGTGAGGTGTCAGGCCTTGCCGGGTGTCTGGTGCGCACCGACTTGCCTGTGCCGGAGGGTCTTTCTTTGGGGCGTCCGCTGTCGAGGCCTCCTGCTGGGGCGGCCCCGGAACCCGGGCCCAGCAGTCCCTGGCATAGTGGCCCCGACGGCCGCAGCGGAAGCAGTCAACGTCGGGGCGGCGCGCAGCGGGCACCCCGTCCCGACGCGGCCGCGCCGGCGGCGGAGCCCGCGGCCCTGACCCGCTTCGAGCCGGCCACGGAGTGGAGGCGGCCGACAACTCCTTTGGGCCGGTCGCATCCGGCACGTACACGGCCTTCGTAGGGTCCCACCCTACGGCCCCCCCATCGACGACAGGACCGCCCGTCCACGCCGTCACCTGTTTCCAGCGGCGGAGATTGAACTGGGCGTCCAAACACTTGGCCGCGGTCCGGGACGTGAGTTTTTCGTGACCGCACGCCTGCATGGGAATGCCGAGATCTCGGGACAACTCCAACATCTTCCCCAAGATGAGTGGTTCCAGCAGGTCAGGCTCCGTCTCCGGGTAAGCGGCCATAGCGAGTTCCAACACGGCGCCCCTGTACGCTACAGGTGACTCCTCAGGTGCGCGTTGCCGCTGCACGAATCGGCGATGGGCGTCATCCGGTGGCTCGTACGCGTCCGCCATTTCCTCGAACACCCCTCGCAGAGTTTTCTTCTTCGCAGCTTTTATAGAGCGAAAAAAACGAACGGACTCATCATCAAGAAGAGTCGGGAGCACCTCCAGTGCCTCAGCGTCCGTCCACCTTGCCGTACGTACCGCCGCCAAAAATCTGCAGGCGAACGCACTCCAATCGCCCCCGATGGAGAACTCTTTGACGGTTGTAAGGTGACGACTGCGACTCCTTGGCTTGCTTCCGTCCGTCGCTGACTCTTCCGGCGGTAAGTTCAGCAAGGCGTCGCAACGCTGTGTCGCCAAAATGGCGGACGATCCTCGCGGCGGCCCCAAAATGGCGGCTTCCCGCCTTCCGTGGTGCGCCACGCCCAAGATGGCGTCTTCACGCCGCGTGGCCGATGGCGGCGCCATCGAAGACGACCCGGGCTCCTGCCGATCACCACCATCACCTTCCAACGCCGCCCTTGGCGTGACAAGGTCACACAACTCTGTGATGACGGTTTTTAGGGTTGCCAGTTGCTCCGCCATCCGGATCCATCTTAAATCTTCGTCCTTCAACGCAGATGGGTCGGACGAAGGGGCCACCTCCTCGACGCCCGGGCCCTCACGGATCTCTCCCTCCGCCGAAGTGAAGCCGACCTCAGGAGGAAGATCGTCGTCGTCCGAAGATGAAGCCGACGCCGGGGATGGAATATTCTTTTTCCTCAGTTGTTTCGCCATGCCGTTTCACTTCTGACTCCAGTGTAATAAAAGGACTCGGACACTTCCTTCTGTCTTCGTGTCTTTTATTGGGTTCTCGTCCTCACCCACACGGCACTCTGTTATAACTCTGTATTTGTAGCCCCCGGCTATTCACTGCTATTATAGCTCCTTCTTCCCTCTGACTCTCCGCTTCATCTACTGTAACCTCCTCCCTGCAGACTCGCTGCTACCTCTATGCAGACTCCCGCTGCTACCCCTATGTGCAGACCCTCTGGCTGCTACCGTATGCAGACCCGCTGCTGACTCTGTATGCAGCCCCGCTGCTGACTGCAGCCTCCTCGCTGCTTCGGGTCGGTCACCGCTGGCCAACGGTGCCGATCCTCGCTCCCCCGTGTTCGTGGCGATCTCGCCACCCTCCGCTTCGCCCTTCGTGGCCTCTCTCTGTTCCTGGTTCCCCGTCACTCCCCGTCCTCTTCCGGTTCCCCTCCTTCTATAGCCTAACCCCTCACCCCCCCCACGTGACCTAACTCCTCCCCTCCTGACGTCACCTCCGGAGGGCCGTTTACGCCCGCATTACACAAAGATACACGGAAGGGGGGAGAGGAGGGGAGGGAGAGTGATGGACAGGGAGAGAGAGACAGACAGGGGGAGAGAGAGACATAGAGACATAGATACAAGGAAGGGGGGAGAGGAGGGGAGGGAGAGTGATGGACAAGGAGACAGAGACACACACACATACACAGGGGAGAGAGACACGGAGATAAAGATACACGTAAGAGGGGAGAGGAGGGGAGGGAGAGTGATGGACAGGGAGAGAGAGACACACACATACACAGGGGGAGAGAGACACGGAGATAAAGATACACGGAAGAGGGGAGAGGAGGGGAGGGAGAGTGATGGACAGGGAGAGAGAGAGACACACACACATACACAGGGGAGAAAGACATGGAGACAAAGATACACGTAAGAGGGGAGAGGAGGGGAGGGAGAGTGATGGACAGGGAGAGAGAGAGACACACATACACAGGGGGAGAGAGACACGGAGATAAAGATACACGGAAGAGGGGAGAGGAGGGGAGGGAGAGTGATGGACAGGGAGAGAGAGACACACATACACAGGGGGAGAGCGACACGGAGACAAAGATTCGCCTTACAGTCTGTTAGCGAACACCTCTGAAGGCTGCCAGCACGTGCGGTTTCCCCAGTGCTGATGTTTAAGATGTCGCAGATTAAGTGCGAGTCGAGGCAGGGGTGGTTGGCCCTGCACCGCCTCTGATAACCGCCGCTGACGTTAACTGTGTCCGGGGAATCGACAGCACGACGCCCCGTTCGTTGCGTCATTGCGCTCACCACTGCGCCACCGCTCCAACAAAAACTAAAACAAGGACCTGAACAAATTTTGATTTAAAGCTTTCGTGACTGCAGGGATTCATATTCTTGGTTATTTCGGTAAAGTCACGTAGAAGGGAAATAATGAAATAATATAAATATAAAACAACAAAAATTCTCACGACGTTTCGACTGCAACACAAGCAATCATCATCAGGTGTGAAATCCACAGCAAGAAAATTTCACACCTGATGATGATTGCTTGTGTTGCAGTCGAAACGTCGTGAGAATTTGTATTGTTTTATATAAAAAATAATTTATTATTTCCCTTCTACGTGACTTTACCGAAAGAACCAAGAATAAGGGCCTGCACATTTTGTCGGGGGTCAAGTGCTGTTAGCGAGCAAAGGTGAAAGCCGGAACGACACACGAGGGGGCGGTTGTGTGGGTGGCCGGCATCATGCCCGGCCGCCTTTGCCTCCGAGCAGTGGTGATGCTTAACACATCGCACCGGGTACTCATTTGAGGCCGGGTCGACCTAGGGGAGGCCCAGTACCGGTTTAGATAATCGTCACCGGGTGTTGGCCGTGAGCGGGACTCGAATTTCGGCTCGCCGGGTTCCAATCGCCGCAGCGCGCTAACCACTGCGCCACCGCTCCCCCACGCTCGCAACACACGCAACGCACTCTCTCTCTCTCTCCCACTTCCAGGAACTCCTCCCTCCCTCTCTCTCTTCCGCGCGCGCTCTCTCCCACTCATCTCTCCCCCCCCCTGTCTCCCCCCCCCCTCTCTCTTTTTTTTCTCCCCCCCCCCCCCCCTCGTTCCCCTCCCCTCTCTCCTCCGCGCGCGCGCTCTCTCCCACTCATCTCTCCCCCCCCCTGTCTCCCCCCCCCCTCTCTCTTTTTTTTCTCCCCCCCCCCCCCCTCGTTCCCCTCCCTCTCTCTCCTCCGCGCGCGCGCTCTCTCCCACTCATCTCTCCCCCCCCCTGTCTCCCCCCCCCCTCTCTCTTTTTTTTCTCCCCCCCCCCCCCCTCGTTCCCCTCCCCTCTCTCTCTTCCGCGCGCGCGCTCTCTCCCACACATCTCTCCCCCCCCCGTCCCCCCCCCGTCTCCCCCCCTCTCTCCCACACATCTCCCCCCCCCGTCTCCCCCTCTCTCTCCCACACATCTCTCCCCCCCCCCGTCTCCCCCCTCTCTCCCCCCCTTCTCTTTCTCTCTTCCGCGCCCCCCCCTCTCCCCCACCTCTCTCCCCCCTCTCTTCCCCCTCTCTCCCCCCCCCCCTCTCTCTTCCGCGCGCTCCCCCCTCTCTCTCCCCTCTCTCCCACCCTCTCTCCCCCCCTCTCTCCCCCCTCTCTCTCCCGCGCGCGCGCTCTCTCCCACACATCTCTCTCCCCATCTCTCTCTCTCGCTCTTATTCCTCCAACACACGTCTCCATTATTTATTAATTTCGTGCCACAAGGTCGCGTGTTGGATCGCAGCTAAGCGAGCGCGAATGTGATCACGTTACAGCGTTCGTCTTGTGCGCGCGCGCGCGTGTGTGTATATATACATAGTTGTGTGTACACGCACACGTGCACGCGCATACGTGCACAGGCGTGCGTCATCGTATCTTTCATATCTCTGTGTGTGTGTGTGCACGCGGAACGGGGTAAATAGAATAATAATAATAAGAGCAATGCTGCAGCTGCACGCCGAGTATGCGCGGTTTGCGGAAGAGATCATCTTCAAGGATGAAACATCAACCGTAGGTAGCGCTGAAAGTGCGTCCCCCTCCCCCCTGCTGTTCCGATGCTTCGACGTGAGATTCCAGTCACGCAGGTCGGCCGATAGGCTGACTTGGCTGGCTAACTGGCTGGGTAACTAACTGGCTGGCAGGCTGGATAGCTGGCTAGCCAACTGACCGTGCAAGTGGCTGGTTGACTGGCGAATTGGTTGACTGGCTGGCTAACTGGCTGGTAAACTCCTTTACTGGCCGGCGAATTTCGCCGCTAAACGAATGTGCTGGTTGGTTCGCTGGCTGGCTGAGCAGCCGGTTAACCTGACAGGCGAGTTGACTCGCCAATTTGGCTGGCTGGCCGAACTGGCTGGCTCGACATCGTTGAAGATTTTTTTGGAAGGTCACTTGCTTCGACTCTCAATAGACGAGGTCAACTGCTGCCGCTTTGCGGCGGTTGTCAAGAGCGAGTGCCCCGCTTCTCTATGGCATTTGGGAAGAACGCCGAGTGGATATTCAGATCACCAAGAGAGTATATAACCACCACGACCCCTCCTCCTCCTCCTCTTCCTCCTCCTTGGAAAACCGAGCTGCGTTTTGCGCGCGGTCCGGTTCCAGCTCGCCTGATGTGGTAAGTCGAGCAACTTAGGCGCGTCTGAGCCGGGACCGGAGCGCGTCCCGGGACCCTGCTATTACGCGGTCGCGTGAACGCGGCAAAGAAGTTGTTCGATTGAATCCGCCTAAAAGTCCGAAGTGGTTCTAATCGAGAGAAGTGGTGAACGTGGCGGGGGGGGGGGGGGGCTGTGGCTGGGGACCAAATGGATGGCAACTGGACCACCTGGGGTGCCGACGACTCCAACGACACGTGGCCACTCGCCGAGCCGCGGCGGCGTTACTCGGTGTTCACCATCCTGACGCTCACCCTGCTGGCGATGCTCATCGCGGCAACGTTCGTGTGGAACTGCCTCGTCATCGTCACCATCCTGCGCGTGAAGACCTTCCACCGCGTGCCGCACAACCTCGTGGCGTCGCTCGCCGTCTCCGACCTCCTCGTCGCCGCCCTCGTCATGCCCCTGGGCCTCGTCAAAGAGCTCCAGGGCAGGCGCTGGATGCTGGGGCCGCTCCTCTGCTACGTGTGGGTGTCGTGCGACGTCCTCTGCTGCACGGCGAGCATCTGGAACGTGACCGCCATCGCCCTCGACAGGTACTGGTCCATCAGCCGCCACCTGCAGTACACGCTCAAGGGCAGGCGGCGCGCCTCCACGCTCATGATATCCACGGCGTGGTTTCTGTCGGCCATCATCTCGCTGTCGCCCCTCTTCGGCTGGGGCAATGACTACTACTCGCCCGAGCTGCTCGAGTGCCACGTGAGCCACCAGCCGTCGTACGCCGTCTTCTCGACGGTGGGAGCCTTTTACCTCCCCCTGTGCGTGGTGCTCTTCGTCTACTGGAAGATCTACAAGGCGGCGAGGCTGGGCGTGGTGGGCAAGCGGCAGCAGCGAAACGCCGTCACGCCGATGCTTCCCCAGCAGGAGGAGGTGATCATGGTGAGCGGAACCACGCAGCACCACCACTACCACCACGCTCGCATTGTGTCACCTCTGCCGCGAGAGAAGGATGAGCTGTCAACTGAGTTGGTTTGTTCTCAACCTCGTTTTGATTACCCCTCCCCCCCCCGACCCCTTTTGTTGAATTGTGTTTCAAACGAGTTTACGCAGCGGCTCCATCCTTCCGTAATCCACCAACCTCCCTCCCCACACGTGGTTCTACAACCACACCCCGTCTCAGGTTAGGGATCTCACCCACAAACATGATCCTGGGAACGTAGCGACCGTCCGGAGCCAGGTTCTGATCGTTGGGCTCGGCCTGTGAGAGACATTGGAATGAAATGTTAAAACGAGATGAAGGGGGCAGCCCTGCAAGTGCCCGCTCACGACGCTGCTGGCGGAACGGTCCCTTCTAGAGGGACCTCCACAGCACTGGGACCCATCCTTGTTTTGGCTGCTGTAACCCACTTTGTTGAATTTAGTTTCAATTGAGTATAACCAACCCACCCACCCCCCCCCCCGTTGCCTGGCCCCAACATGGTTCTGATGAATAAAAGTATGAATAATGAACATCAATATTTTAACCACGTGTTCATTTTGATGAGCTAGTTAGTAACAGCAAGCGAAATACAAATACAAAAAATTCTCGCTCGCTGGTTACTCTTGGAAACCGCATTGTTTACCATCAACGGGTTTAAAAAAAGTCTATTGTACCGTTCTAGGCTACCGTGTGGATTCGAAACGTATCGTAGGCATTTCACATTGACAATATTTCACCACACTGGTCAGTTGGTTAAGACGGGCCGCTGGAGCATAGACGTACAGAGCAATAATTGATGTGGATGCACCGCCCCTCGACTGCCCACGCCGCACGCGGCAAACCTATAGCACCTGCTACGCATGCCGGTTGGGCCCGATCTAAATCGCAGTCCACGCTTCACCACGACTGATGATGAGTGAATAACAGCACCGGGCTGGTCAACAAACTATAGCGTTGTGCGGCATCTTCACCGTTGACCTAACTCATCAGCAAGCCGCGGGGCCTCGTGCACACGGGAGTCCAGTGGTTGGGTGCGCGATGTGGCGATGTTTGCCTATCACCCAATCACCCGGGGACGTGAGCGCCCAACATCTGGCGAGAACCTGCGAAGATGATCGGAGCTCGGCCTGGATAGTGCGTGGACGCACGGACATCCGTGCAGGCTTCAACATTGCGGCGCTCAGCAGTGCCGGATGAAGCGAGTGCGTGGCGTGTAGAAATATGTTACAAAGGGGCCCTAAATAAAAAAGAAAACCACGTAAATATTAAAACACTAATTTTTCACTTGCATAGTAAAGTAATTGTATTTTTTCACTTTCTATACCGCCAGGCAATACGACAAATCGCTAACCTTAAACACCCAGTCGCGCATTAAAGTTGAAGGCGGTATAGTACTATAGTAATGGAGCAAGTGCAGAATCACTGAACCGGAATTGATAGCTTTGAAATCATTTAGTGCGGGTCCCGTAGCATGTGTAGCTGCTTGTGCTATTAGGATCATCCGGCAATGTTGCTCAGTCTAAGATAACGGTCCTCCCGTATGTCGTAGCATGTGTAGCTGCTTGTGCTACTAGGGTCATCCGGCAATGGTGCTCAGTCTAAGATAAAGGTCCCCCCGTATGTCGTCGCATGTGTAGCTACTTGTGCTACTAGGATCATCCGGCAATGGTGCTCAGTCTAAGATAAAGGTCCCCCCGTATGTCGTCGCATGTGTAGCTACTTGTGCTACTAGGATCATCCGGCAATGGTGCTCAGTCTAAGATAAAGGTCCTCCCGTATGTCGCCTTAAGAGGCTTTTGGAGGGTCGAGTGTTGTCGGCGAGCGGGAACCCATGAAGGCCGGCACGGCACACGAGGGGGGGGGGGGGGTGGCCAACGCTACTCGCCGGCCGGCTTTGTCTCCCCCAGTGGCGACGTTTGCACACCGGACCAGGTATGCATTTGAAGCTGGGTCGACCTAGGGGGAGGCACCAAGACCGGTTCAGATAATTGTCACCGGTGTTGGCCGTGAGCGCGAATCGAACTCGGTTCGCCGGGTTTGTAGAGCAGCGTCCTAACCGCTGCGCCACCGCTCCCCACTGCGGGGCTGAGTGGTTGACGCCACACGGCCAGTGCGGTAATATTTGCGGTACGGCGCATTGCTGTACTGTCCTTCTATGCTCCCACGACGTTTGTCGTCAGCAGCCCGCCCTGACCAGCGTCGTGAAGTACTGTGAAGTTCCCCATGAGTCACGTGACTGACTGAGCGAGGACTTCATCCAGCAGTGAATTGACGGATGGGGTGTTGGGGATTCTTAAAATTCCCACGCAACTAACATTGGTACCACTTTACACGTGCTGCATGGAGCTGATTCTCCCAATTAAATACTGAAGCGCCGGCAAAGTAAAGACGCGCCGACGGCTAAACGTGCACCCCAGAGGTCGCAACCGGGTACCCAATACCCGTACCCTACCCGGCCGGGTACGGGTACCCGTTTGCGACCCTGATGCGGCCGGGTACGGGTACGGGTAGGCCGTGAGTCACTGGTGAGTAACCGTTTGTCACTCATTTCGGGTAGGGTACGGGTACAGGGGTAGGGAACTTGTACCCGTACCCGGCCGGGTACGGGTACGGGTCGCCGTTTGCGACCCTGGTGCGGCCGGGTACGGGTTAGGAATCAAAACCAGTTTGCGACCTCTGGTGCACCCTCTATCAATAAAGTTAAACGAATCTGGTGTCACTCACGTACTTGAGCGTATAAGACGTCCCCCCCCCCCCCGCCCAACGTTTTGGTAATAAAAAAATTTAGAGAGGGGGTGGGGTGGGGTGGTGCGTCTTATAATCCGGAAAATAGGTAAATATGCTCTCGTTGTAAGCAATTCAACGAGAGAGCGAGACACGAAAGTGCACAGAACAAAAACACATTTAATATGGCAACTATCTTATTTAGCAGGCTAAAGCATGCGTTGTGGGTGTGAGTCTGTTCCTCGGGGGGGGGGGGGGGTTTGTGTTCAGGCCGTAATGAAATCTGGAAAAGTCACTCAAGTGGTAAATGTAGAGTTGAGCGCGTGGATTTTATGCTATCGTTAAGACACTGGCGGGGAGAAAAAAAACGTGGTCTGTTTGTTAAGAATGTCATCACTCGCGCACAAAACAAAGACAGCCCATCCCCCGGTACAGCCTTTAACAGACTGTTGGGGCAAGTGCTGTTCGAGTGCACCTACGATGGCCGGCACGGCTCACGAGGGGGTGGGTGGCCTGCACCACGCCCGGCCGCCTTTGTCTCCCTAGTGGCGACGTTTACCACACCGCACCAGGTTACTCATTTGAGGCTGAGTCTACCTAGGGGAAGAGGCCCAGGAACCGATTCAGATAAATCGTCACTTGGTGTTGGCCGCGAGCTGGAATCCGAGCTCCGGACGATGCCGGGTTCGTAGCGCAGCGCGCTAACCACTGCGCCACCGCTCCCCACACGATATACACACACGCGCGCGCGTTGAGGGTTCGGTCGTTTTGCTCGAGGGAAGTGCACGCGTCGTAGATTCCACGAGCGTACGTCACATATATCACCAGCCGTCGCTGCACACAAGATCAAGAGCAGTAAAGTGTTGTTATAAATGATTGTATTCATGTCCGTAACGGGAAAATAGACGGCGCGTGTTAGTCTTGCACGATGAGAACGTGTTCTTAATTTTTACATTTAAAATAATGGGAATTGTTTTTTCTATCGACGATTTTTCGATTTTACGTACCGTTTGTCAAGAATACATCCTAATCGTAAATTGAAGAATTCCTGTATTAAGGTTTTTTTTGGGTGAAATATTAATAGAAAATTTGTTTTTAAGTTGTTTATTTAACACGTATGCATTCGCGACCAATATCATCCATAATACAGGGTTTTGGGTTAAAGTGCGTAAATATAAATGTGTCGTTAAACCCGCCACCACCTGACACAGCTAATTAGTTAAGTTCCTCACGTAAACTAAACTTGACAATCAGTTGCAGCTTCAGCACACCGGCGTGTTTTCGAGTAAAACCCACGACATTTACAATTCGAGGACGAGGTTTTGCTCGTGATTACAACCAGCACTATCAGGCGATTAGTCCGAATTTGTGAGGAAGTCTTCCCGTTGTTGCGACAGCCGCTTGCAACGAGTGCGGTTACGCTTGAGTAAATAATTCACTCTTATTAAGTAAGATTATTCACAATTATTTGGCCGTATGAACAAAATCGCCGTTTACTGAAGTTGAATCAGCCTCGAGGCGGTACCAGCTTCTGATGTGGCCCCATGGACTGTTATCGCTTATACACCTGACGTGCACTTGGGTTGCATGCAACTTGGGTTGCATGCAACTGGTCGCATGCAATAGCCTTTAATAATGCACAGGGCCGAGGTGAGAGATCGAGCAGAATGCGCGCGATAGACGCAAGCGGATATCATACATTTTCTCATTCTGCCTCGAACATGAGTTGAAATTTGTTGACAAATGTTTATTTAGCATTGCCCGTGTGGTGGCCTTTAACACTCACGGCCAACACCGGTGACGATTATCTGGATCGGTGCTGGGCCTCTCCTAGGTTGACTCGGCCTAAGAATACTCTCCAACACACCGGCGTGCTGAAGGAGCAGTAGCAAAGCAACGTTGAACGCGTAGGCGTTCGCGTAACGAATTGGTAGTACAGCAAACCGGTGTGCTGTACTGGTAAATAATTGGCACGTTTTTGTTTACGTGACGAACCTCACTAATTGACTGTGTCGGGTGGTGGCGGGTTTAACGACACATTTATAACGCATCGAGAAGCAATCGGCGTTGTTCCTCATTCTCGACCACCGCCCATCAGCATCATCATCATCACCATCATCGTCGTCATCATCATCGTCGCCATCATCATCGTCGCCATCGTCACCATCATCATCATCGTCACCATCGTCATCATCGTCACCATCATCATTGTCATCATCATCGTCATCATCATAGTCATCATCATCATCGTCATCAATCATCATCATCGTCGTCATCATCGTCATCATCGCTTCGTCGAGCGACGGTGTCGTCCACCGCTCCGCTTACTCTCCTGAACAGGCGTCATCCAGCACAGCGTGATTGTGATTTTGACGTTTTGTTTCAAAGTGTCTTCGGCCTCTCTCTCCTTCCACTTTTCCTCTATCTCTCTGTATCGATTTTCCACCCTTTCTTTCGCTCTCTCTTTCTCCCGCTGTCTCTCTCTCTCTCTGCCTATCTCTCCATCTCCCACCCCCCTTTCTCTCTCCCTCCCTATTTCTGTCTACAAATATCTCTCCCTTTTTTCCTCCACGTGTCTCTCCCCCCCCCCGCCTCTCTGTCTCTTTCTCTCTTCCCATCTCTCCCTCTTTTCCCCTCTCTATCTCCCTGCCTCTATCTCCCTCCCGTAGCGCCACAGCGCGTCGATTTGTAGCGTTTATTTTCATTTGTTTGCTGGTGACTGTATTTCATATTAAAATCGCCTCCAGTGCAAATGCTGCTGGCGGCAATACAAGTTGTTTAAAAGTCAAAAGTCTATCTCTCTCCCCATCTCTCCCCTCCCGCGTCTCTCTCCCCCGGCCCCCCCGGCCCCCCACTCTCTCACACCATCTCTCCCCCACTCCACCCCCCCCCCCCCACGAGGAGGCCAAGCAATCGTCGTCGCACGAGGCCCGAGTGGCGTTCGCCGCGCGCCACGCGGCGGTCTCCTTCCAGGCGGCCGAAGGCGACACGTGGCGAGAGCACAAAGAGAAGCGAGCCGCGCTCATGGTCGGCATCCTCATCGGGGTGTTCGCCCTCTGCTGGATTCCCTTCTTCCTGAGCGAGCTCGCGGCGCCGCTCTGTCTCTGCGCGCCTCCTCCGCTGTGGCAGAGCGTCTTCCTGTGGCTCGGCTACTCCAACTCGTTCTTCAACCCGCTCATCTACACCGCCTTCAACAAGAACTACAACAACGCGCTCAGGAATCTCGTGCCGTGCGCGCAGCGCTGATGCGCGCGCGGTGGGTGGGGAGGAGGAGGAGAGGGTCGAAAAGAGGATGAATGGGAGGGTGGAGGAGATGGAGGTGGAGGAGAGGGTGGTGGAGAGGGTGGAGTAGGAGAAAGAGGAGAGGGAGGAGGAAAGGGTCGAGGAGAGGGAGGAGGAGAGGGTGGAGGAGATGGAGGTGGAGGAGAGGGTAGAGGAGAGGGTAAAGGGGAGGGTGGAGGAGATGGAGGTGGAGGAGAGGGTGGAGGAGAGGGTGGAGTAGAAGAAAGAGGAGAGGGAGGAGGAAATGGTCGAGGAGAGGGATGAAGGAGAGGGTGGAGGAGATGGAGGTGGAGGAGAGGGTAGAGGAGAGGGTGGAGGGGAGGGTGGAGGAGATGGAGGTGGAGGAGAGGGTGGAGGAGAGGGTGGAGTAGAAGAAAGAGGAGAGGGAGGAGGAAATGGTCGAGGAGAGGGATGAAGGAGAGGGTGGAGGAGATGGAGGTGGAGGAGAGGGTAGAGGAGAGGGTGGAGGGGAGGGTGGAGGAGATGGAGGTGGAGGAGAGGGTGGAGGAGAGGGTGGAGTAGAAGAAAGAGGAGAGGGAGGAGGAAATGGTCGAGGAGAGGGATGAAGGAGAGGGTGGAGGAGATGGAGGTGGAGGAGAGGGTAGAGGAGAGGGTGGAGGGGAGGGTGGAGGAGATGGAGGTGGAGGAGAGGGTGGAGGAGAGGGTGGAGTAGAAGAAAGAGGAGAGGGAGGAGGAAATGGTCGAGGAGAGGGATGAAGGAGAGGGTGGAGGAGATGGAGGTGGAGGAGAGGGTAGAGGAGAGGGTGGAGGGGAGGGTGGAGGAGATGGAGGTGGAGGAGAGGGTGGAGGAGAGGGTGGAGTAGAAGAAAGAGGAGAGGGAGGAGGAAATGGTCGAGGAGAGGGATGAAGGAGAGGGTGGAGGAGATGGAGGTGGAGGAGAGGGTAGAGGAGAGGGTGGAGGGGAGGGTGGAGGAGATGGAGGTGGAGGAGAGGGTGGAGGAGAGGGTGGGGTAGGAGAAAGAGGAGAGGGAGGAGGAAAGGGTCGAGGAAAAGGAGGAGGAGATGGAGGAGGAGAGGGTGGAGGAGAGGGTGGAGGAGATGGAGGTGGAGGAGAGGGTGGAGGAGATGGAGGTGGAGGAGAGGGTGGAGGAGGGGGAGGAGGAGAGGGAGAAGGAGAGGGTCGAGGAGAGGATGAAGGATAGGGTGGAGTAGGAGAAAGAGGAGGAGAGGGAGGAGGAAAGGGTCGAGGAGAGGGTGGAGGAGAGGGTCGAGGAGTAGAAAGAGGAGGAGATGGTGGAGGAGAGGGAGGAGGAGATGGAGGAGAGGGTGGAGTAGGAGAAAGAGGAGGAGATGGTGGAGGAGAGGGAGGAGATGGAGGAGAGGGTGGAGGAGATGCAGGAAAGGGTGGAGGAGATGGAGGTGGAGGAGACAGAGGAGGTGGAGGAGAGGGTGGAGTAGGAGTGAGAGGAAGAGCAATATGATGGGAGGGAGGAGTGGGAGGTGGATGACGATATGGAGGAGGAGTGAGAGGAGGAGTGAGAGGACTCGGAACCCAGCAAACACAGAACGTAACAACGTTTGACCAACGTTAGTCCGACGGTTTCAACCGCATGCCGACGTTGACCCAACGTTGCATCTTTACCGGGAAGAGGAGGACGATGAGGATCACAAAGAGGAGGAGATGGGAGATGAGGAGGTGTGGAGGAGGAGGAGATGGTGGGTCGAGGTATTATTCATCACAATGAAACGTTTTTGTTCAGTCCGTCTGTTCAGGAATGTTTTCGTCTGTGCTGCTGCTGCTGCTGCTGTTGTTGTTGATGTTGATGTTGTTGGTGGGAACAGGAGCAGAATGATGAGTAATCATCGTCAGCAGCAGCATCGACAACCTCATAACCGAATACCATCTGCACCATCGTTATCAATGGCATCGTGAGGAGTAGTATCATCATCAGCAGCATCATCAACAGGAGCATCGTCAACAACAGTAGCAGCAGCATCATCATCAACAGTAGCAGCAGCAGCATCAACAGTAGCAGCAGCAGCAGGAGCAGCAGCATGAATAGCAGCAGCATGAGCAAACATATTCATATTCAACTTGGAGGAATAAGTTAAGCATCGTCAGCAGCATCAACATCAAAATCATCAGCAGCAGCATCATAACGGTGATTTTAATCAGCAGCAGCATCAACATCAAAATCAACATCATCATCAGCATCATAACGGTAATTTTAATCAGCAGCAGCAGCATCAACATCAAAATCAACATCATCATCAGCAGCAGCAGCATCATAACGGTAATTTTAATCAGCAGCAGCAGCATCAACATCAAAATCATCATCATCATCAGCAGCATCATAACGGTAATTTTAATCAGCAGCAGCGGTTGTATCACAACCATCATCATGACGAGCAGCAACAGTAGTAGTATTAGCTGCAGCCATTGTCTATCAACTGCTGGATGGATGCCTCCCCGTTCTGCTGTATATACTGATTGTCCACGTGTGTGTGCGTGCTTGCCATTGCCCTGGCCAATATTAACGCCTTGCCACGCAACGATCCGCGTAAACTTTGCATTTTATCTCAAGAATCGTGATCATGATGATGATGACAAAGCATCAACAATAACAATAAACGTGCATTATGCTGCACTCTGGGCGCTGTGACTGCTTAACTCCCCCCTCCACCACCCCCACCGCACGAGAAACAGTACGAGTCAATTGTCTTGGGGGCCGTCCATAAATGACGTTACGCACCTAGGGTGGGGGGGGGGGGGTCAGACATTTGTGACGATGTGTGACGAGGGGGGGTGGGGTTTGAGAAATGTGACGTCACATCAAAATGCGCAACTTTAAATAAATATAGACAACACGTTCTACTTAATTAAATAGACTTTTTAATCAATGTTTTCTCCTACAACATCAGAGTGCAGCGCCACATTAAATACGCACTACAATGACAATAGTTTAAAGCGATTTGAAGTATGTTTTATATATTTTTGGGGGGGGGGGGCAGAGCTTTGTGGCGTCATATTTGAGGGGGGGGGTCTGACTTTTTGTGACGCCGTGGATAGATAAGAGTAGTTGCTGAGAATTGGAGACCCTACTTCTTGACACAACGGGGCCCTCATGTGATAGATACAAAAATAAACTAATGTTTCCTGGAAGACGTAAGCTTGCCCTACGCACGATTTGAAAACTAAAACGTTTGCCGGTACCTGACGATTTATATTTATTTTATAATAGCTCAACTCAATTATGTATTCGACCGCTTGATATTATCATCGGCTGGTGGTGGTGGGGGGGTCGCGTTAGGCGTCAAATTCATCAGTTCGGCAATTGACCGAGACCTTCTTTGGCGCGCCTCCGCAAATGAGAACGAGTGGGGAGATAATGACCCCATTCCTAGCCGCGAGCTCTCAGCGCCGCGGTTGGTGCGTGTGGGCCAATGACCGCCGCCAGCAGCGATCATCGAAATCACTTTTATTTTATATTGCAGCTGTGACCGCGGTGGTCACGGGGGGAGGGGTGGGTGGGTGGGGAGTAGAGTCAAGGATAGAATGCGTAGGGGTGGGGGTTGGGGGGAGAGGTACGAGAAGAGAGAAGAAGCGAAATAATTGGGAAGTAAGATGTACAGGATGGGAAAGTAACGGAGAAGCGGGAGCGACGTGTCACGAGGTGTCAGGAGGAAGAGGTCGACATCAGAGTCTCGATGCTGCTGCTGATACTGCTGCTGCTGCAGCTGCTGCTGCTGCTGATGCTGCTGCTGCTGATGCTGCTGCTGATGCTGCTGCTGATGCTGCTGCTGCTGATGCTGCTGCTGCTACTGCTGCTGATGCTGCTGCTGCTGTGGCTGCTGCTGCTGCTGCTGCTACTGCTGCTGCTGCTAATGCTGCTGCTGCTACTGCTGTGGCTGCTGCTGCTGCTGATGCTGCTGCTGTGGCTGCTACTGCTGATGCTGCTGCTGATGCTGCTGCTGCTACTGCTGCTGCTGCTGATGCTGCTGCTGTGGCTGATGCTGCTACTGCTGATGCTGCTGCTGATGCTGCTGCTGATGATGATGCTGCTGCTGATGATGCTGCTGATGCTGCTGCTGCTGTGGCTGCTGCTGCTGCTACTGCTGCTGCTGCACGGAGGGGCGGCGTGTGGTTTTCACAGCCTGGCGGCGGGGAGAACGGACGGATTCCGAGTGGCAGTGGCCGCACAAAGGTCACGCGAGGCTTGAGCTGATTTCTGATTTTGATATATCGAGATGGGTGTTGTGTTGCAGGGTGGCCCAATGGCAACACCTGTGCCTCACGGGACAAAAACAGGTTTCCTGAGTTCGAAATCCGACTCGGGTGCCTTGCGGAGTGGAGTCTGTTTCTTCTCTCGTCCCCCCTTCTGCGTAGGTTTTCTACGGGTTCTCCGGTGTCCTCCAATAGCTAAATAAATATGTAAAGACACGTGAAATAGAATTGATATTCGTCAAAGATGCTCGCGCTAAAACGATAACTCCGAATGTCTCAAGTTGGGATTTTTAACCAGCGGCAACATCTCCATGCTGCGAAGATTTGGCAAGACTCCCCTGATTATGACTCTTGAGACTCGGTGAGGCTTTCTCGGGTAAACAAGCGAAATAGAACGAATACTAATAGGAGCAAAAGGTTCCAAACCACAAGTGGCCAGCAATAAATGGCACTATTAAACGTCGTATCAGCATCAGAATCCTTATGTAAGCTGACTGAATCCGATGAGCTATGATTTCACAGATGTCCAGTTGTAATACACAGGGTGGGCCTAAAGTCAGGACAACATAGGGTTCTGTGATTTATTTTAAAATTGGCATAAAAAATTGTAATTGTTTATAATATTTTATTCGATGATCATTATTCATATCTATTTTATTCTTCTTCCTTTGCAGATGACATTTAATAATTGGAAAGAAAATTAACGAAATGAGAACGAGTTCAATTCATGTTTAATGTATGCTAGAAAAGGCAGCTGTAATCTAAAAAAAAGTTCAGAATGAATTCAAACAAATAATAAATGCGTTAACGTTAATGGAGGTCAGTTTGA